TTCTTTGGCTGAGGGAAAGGGATCAATGATCTGTTTAACAGATTAACAAGAGTTTTTGATACAGAGGATCCATAATAATATGGCAACTGTAGAGCATACTCAACTTGTATCATTGCAAACTTTGAATAGTTTGAAGAGAAGTATGAAGCTAAAAGATGTAACTATGGAAAAAAGAAGATGGAATCACCAAAAGAGAAGAGAGGTTTTTAGCTAAATATATTTTATAAAGGAAGGTTTTGTTACAAGGGATTTTCTTGATTGTTAGATTGATAGATGATTTTTAGATGATTACTTCCTAGAGAAGTATCATGCTATTTATACAAGAAAAAGTAAAGGACTAGTAGCCTAATAAGACAAGACTAGGACAAAGTAACTTTACAAGTGGCTTAGGATAAGACTAAAAGATGGTGAGTCATAACTAAGGTACAATAACTCATTACTATGGTACAAAGGTTCATTATTATGGTATAGTGACTCATCACTTATGGTACGGTGACTAAGCACTATGATTCATACTAAATTACAATGACTCATTATGACTTGACTAAGACATAAAGTTGATGAAGACTTGACATAAGGTTGTCTTAATGTGAAGGCATCATTATCAACTTCTGTGGAGTTTTCTGGAGAAAACTAAAAATATAACGCATAATTATACAATATTGGACTGGAATAGGGAATCTTCTATCTTGTAGCACTATCATTTGAGAGAACGTTGAGTGTGTTCTGAAGAGAGGTTGAGGTGTGAGTTGTCTGCGCCTGGTGTGAAATCATAGCCGATGTTGACTAACCATTGATCTGGATCAAAATCATCAAGGGGGTCTTGAGAATCTTGCCATTCCATTTGTGGTCTAACTTCAGGAGGTTTCCAATAAGGATTCCATTCTACTGGGCCTGCATGGTCAAGTTCAAATCTGGTAGTTTCAGAAAGAGGTTCTGTCCAAGCACCATCAAGACGGGTTTCATAAATCTTTTTATCAATGTTGAGCTGATAAATGTATTCTGAAGGATAGTTTCCCCATGGAACTTCATCTTGGAGCTCTGGCCAATTTTGCTTGGGAAACTTGTGATTCATTTCACAAATTTGTCTCTGAAATTCAGTGTATTCAACTGGGTGATCAAATTGGGAATTAAACAGTGAATATCCTTGGGAGCTGTAAATTGCTGCATAGGGGAAATACTGGGGGTCTTTGGTCAAACAGTTGCAAGATCTGTGAAAGATTAAAACAATATGAGGATCAGGAAGAACTTTTGTATATCTCTCATAGGTTTCAATCCATTGGATCCAAATGGGAATGGGTCTGAACCAGGTGAAGAAAAACTTGAGATGTTGTTGACTGGGGTCCAACTGGTATTTGGTAGGGTTGATGGTTGACTGTTGAAAAAGGTGAAGAAGGGTTTTGAGCTTTGAAAGTGGGAATTCTACAGTAATATAGTAAAGGTGACAAAGGTACCACATAAAACAAAATGTTTCGTTTGGGAAACAAAGAGGTTCAGGGAATTTAAAGGGATGGATGAAGGGATAATCAGGGTGTATACCAAGAGATTGAATGGAGGTGTCTCTAAACTTTTTGAGTGTTTTAGACTGGTATTTGAGCAAAAGGTGTGAGATTTTTTGGTCAAGAGTTTGAGAGGTAAGAACTCTGAGTAACTCTGGAAGAAGATTTTTTATAAAAAAGTTAAGAAATTCATCAGGTAAATCAAATTTATCATTAAAGTGAGATTTCTGAGAAGAGAAAAAAAGAGGGTTGTTTGAGGTCCATGTATCAGCTATAACATCACATCCTAAATATATTATTATAATATAAAAGCTGTCCCTTTTGATTTACAGCCGTTTTGATTTCAATATTAATTATAATTTGAAAGATAATTTTAAAAAAATTATTTATATATATAAAATATGTTTATAATAATTAATTAATATCTTTTCGATTCTTTCAACTTTTTCTTCTCTCTTATATTCTTCAAAGAGAAAAGATTTTTTTTTTTTTAAAGCGAAAAATCAAGTAAGAATGATGCACAGGTACAGCAGGAGGTAACAATTTTTTCTTTAAGTGAGTTTTTTTTTATCCAATTGAGATACAAAAGATTTGATTTTATATGTTCTTCGTAATTTTGTTTCGTTTGGTTTTGAGATTACTGTTTTTTTTAATTTTATTTTGGCTTTAATTTCTTTGAACGTTTCTAAAAATGTCAGCACAAATTGGAAGTCAAGTTTTTCAGTTTACACTGGCTACAGCTGGCAGGAAGAAATTTTACACGCATATGGCCCCCTCATCCAACAAAATTCTTGTGGAAAGTACGCAGTAACTCTGATGGTAGAAACCAAACTGGTACATGCGTCAACTATAACATAAGATATTGCATTATTTAGAGAGGAGATATATCTTGACTTTTGCGTCAACCCGCATCCAACAAAATTCTTGATGGAAAGCACGCAGAAACTCTGATGGTGGAAACCAAACCGGTCCATGCGTCAACTATAACAGAAGATATAGCATTGTCTAGAGAGGAGATACATCTTGACTTTGGCGTCAACCCTAACCAGGAAGTCGGCCACCCTCCCTACAGTTTTCCACGCAAGAAATACAATCATGATATCACAATCAGAAATGCAACTTACTGAAAATTCGTAGAAATATAATCAGAAATTCTTTTTCTCTTAATTTATAAATCAATGATTATGATATCACATTGGCGAAAGATTAAAGAATTCCAGCAATTATAAATCAATCAAAATCAATCATAAATAACAATTACAGTATCCAAACAATATTTAGGTGAAAACATTTCAAACGAAAAACTAAAAATCAAGGTTCTTAAAGATTTCACTATAATCAAATGAATGCAAAACACTATTCTCAACCTCTACAATGAGTGTACTATTTTTTTTATGCTATCAACAAATGATTCCAACAAATTAACCAAAAAAAAAAAAATTTAGAGGATACTGTTTAGAGATAAAAATCGAAATTATAATGCACATATGCTTCAAAATTGACATTTGTGAGTGTTTTTTTTACCTAATATAAAAAATTAAGCATCAAGTCACAAATGATCCTTCGATTGTTGATGTCATCAATGCAAATGCCCTCATTTCTTAAATTCTTGTGGAAATTAAAGATGCAAAAATTTTGATAGTGAAAACAAAAATAATTTCAACAACAACAACAACAACATCAATAATAATAATAATAATAATAATAATAATAATAATATATTAACAATACATTATTTGAGATCTTAACTTTGACATCAATATACCCTCATAGAGCTTGAATTATATTTTATTTTGATGGTATATTAGTGTCTTTTTATCAAGGCTTTGGAATAGATATGCTTAATTATTTTCGGATTATTTTCTGCAAATTAAATTACGACGAATGAGATTGAAAGTGAAATATTTTGATTTATCATAATGTTTTCAATTATAAATTAAATTTGGTAATGATTGCTATATCTTACAATCTCTTTAAGAAATAATCCAAGCTAATTTTCGATTGGTTTCCGTTCGTTTTTCTTCATTGAGTCATTTCTTACGAAGACAGCAGCATTGATTTTATATTTTACATCATTGGTTTAAGCCATGATAACTAAGTAATTCTTTGGACCACATTATATTGAAAAATGTAATGGTATAAGTCAAAGTGAAGAGAAAAAATATATTAAGAACTTGAGATCATCTGGAAAACATATGACGCAGTAATGTTTTGTATAGCATAGGCCTAATCTGGACCAAAATCAAGTCACTTTAATTTTAGCTTTCGATCATATCAACGTAGCTAGTAGGAATGTTACTATAGAAGATTCTAACTATCAGCAACTTTTTTTTCCCTATTAAGCAATGAAACAAGGAAAAATTACATAAATAAAATTGTGAAAGGATATCTGATCAGATACTGTTTAACGGTGAAATTACCAATGAGAATAGGATTTAATTTTTGAGATAGAGGAAAGAAACAATGAGTCACATAATTCATGTAAATCTCGTAAAAACTGTACAAATGTGTCATGCTTTAGACATGTGCTTTAGACATGTCTTGCCATCTCTACCAGAGAAGTACTCCACCAAGCCCCCATTCTCTACAGGCTTTGTAACTTTGAGGCCAAGTCTCCGTCCATCCCTGTGGCGTTCCCCTTGTCTATTTTGTGTTCGCATCAATGCCATCACTTTCTTGAATTCGTCCCTATCTATTTCTCTGTTAATAATATAAATCGATACTGTAATTATTTTTTGTTAAAGTGAACATATCATCAACAAATGATAAAGTAAGAAATGGCAAAGCATTCTGAAGTTTTTTTTTTTTTTTTGGGTACTTGATAGAAGTAACCCACCCATTACTGTTAAGGTCGAACATTTTAAAAGTCACTGAGAAGCTTGATTCAGGAATGCAAAGAAGTGTGGCGAAGAAGATGTAGCTGCAAGCGAGGAAAATGAAAAGAAAGCTTGAGGATCTTAATTTTTTTTAACATTGAAAAGCTTAAAAGTAGAGGGTTGGAGTTAATTCATAACAGGTTCCTAGAAGACATTGCAAAGTGTACAGAGAAAACATCCATGTATAAGAGCTGCCGTATCTACTTACCATGTGATTAATTTGAATTAGTAACTGTTGATCTGCAATAATTCCCCTGTAGTGCTGTTCAACGAGTAAATGATGTTTCACTGATTCCTTGGAGATTGAAGAAATACTGTAACCACATCGATCTAAGTCAAGCTTAAGGGTGTTCCCATCAAGCAAAACTCCATTGCTGATAGCTTAGTTAAATCCGGTGCTCATAAACCTTAAGCAGTTTTCGGCTTTCTTTTATTTCTTCTTTTTTTAATTATTTTTTCAGGTTGTTTTTTAGTTTTCTTTCTTGATCTATGTACATGTGTTGTGGCACTAATATTGTTTAGCAGAAATTTACAGAACAGAAGAAGATAATTTAGAGAAGAAAACTTGGTCCCATTTCATAACCGAATGAATTACATGACTCCCTGGCTGTCCCTTTATGTTGGACTAACAACCCAGTTGCATTCCAAGATTCTCGGGTAGCAGCAACATTTCACTCATCCCTTGCCAGCAGCGACAATAACAAACGCTAATAAAGGCAATAGGGGCCTGGATAAGAAACAGACCTTACATGCAATATAAGTCCAGAAGCAAGAGAGCAACAACCCAATATTTGTCCAAGATTTGACCCAATAAACAGGCCCATATCAATATGTCTTTTCTTAATGAAATTATCTTATGCCTCAAAAAAATAAAACGAGATTTGTGAGAAATTCTGCTCCATTATGGCTTCTTTTAACATGGGAATTGCTAACTTAGCATCAACCTGAAAGTTTATATGGATCTACTTTTTTTCACTTTTTTTATTATTTTTATTTAAAAATAAGAGGTTAGTTTTTATACATCTCAATGAAGTTTTTATATTTTACATACCAGATTAAAAAATTAACAATATATTTTTTTTATTTCCTATTGTTCCTACAAAAATATGTATAATTAATTGTATTAACCTTCGAGATTTGATACCTGTCTATCTTCAATAGAGATGGAGTTCTCAGGGGGAAATTTTCGTAACCTCCTGTTCTTGAAAGTTTATTCATTGGTCAGAAAAAAATTCCTAACATAGATTCAATACTTATGATCATATAAAGATTTTTTGTAAAGCACCTTCTCTTTGTTCAAGTCATTTGAACTAAAATGCGTAAGGCATGATTTTTGTATAATACTTAAACTTTGTTTTCATCTATAATATTCAGATTTTATTTTTTTCATCTAAAATGTTTTATAGAGATTCTAAATTTATTATCATCAACAATTGTTAAAAATTCAATGAAAGATGTCACGACAATTTCACAAGAATGTTGACATGACATAAATTTAAGTTTAAAAATCAACAACACTCGAAGGGCTTCTGCTGCAAGGTTCTTCTCAAATCTGCCAAATCAAAAATGTCTTGGCCTTTTCCATAAAAACGAAAAAAAGAGAAAGTTTTAGCTTTCTGTCGGAAAGCCTTTAGCATGCATCAACAGTCGTGGATGGCACAACGGAGGGTTCAATACAACTTTAATAAAGTGTCCTTGTTTTTTTAATTTTCCTTTCATGAATATGAAGCTATGATAGGAAAACTTGAACTTTCAGCGCCCACAAATATACACCAAAATGATACTCATCATATCACATTAATAAGATTTAAAAAGACAAACAAGAATACAGTAGTTCCCTTCTCACCCAATGGCAACTAATTCTTTCAATTTCTCAAGATTCACAGCCTTCTTCAGTGGTGTTACTCCATATTGTTTTTGCTCCCTGAAAATTTGTTAAGTTAATTATTTGTCCACAAAAGGGAATATGCCAGTTATAACCGAACTTACATATATTATACCCACATGATTTCCATTCTACGCCGGATATCATCCTCTCGCTTTTGTGCTCTCTTTGCCTTTTCCTCAAAAAGAAAATCAACAGCACTCCCTATATCTTGATTGTTCAATCGTAATGCCCTCCTTGCATCACGTTCCTTGAAGCCCACGCTCATAACGTGAGATAATGCTTCATCAGGCACTTGTAACTGAAAGAAGCAGCAAAAAATTGTGCTTAATGTTGGAAAAGGATGCAAAGGCATTATGTAAAGAAACATTAAGAAAATAGAGGTGGTAAAAACAAAAGATTGGCGAGAAAAACAAAAAGTTGAATGTGGTAGATGGAAGCAAAAGATGAGCACAATAAACTTTTGATAACCCCAAGTACTTGTCGAAGAATTTGACCCGTTTAATAATATCTGAATGTATTTTAACCTTTTTAAACTATTGATATGTTATTTCTATTAAATTTAACCAATATTATCTTCAGTAAATAAAAGTTGCAATAATACAGCAAGCAAAATAATTGCAAATCCAGTCTTATAATTCTAGGTTCCTGAGATATGCCATGAGGGGCTCCCTTTTATCTTCCCATTGAAGCCAAAACTAAACCTGTGCTCAAGAAATAGGTGCTTGTATGCAGATAAGGGTATATATAGGTTATTGAGAAGAGAAGAGCGGTGGTGATCCCCCTGGACCGACCAAATCAACTGAGATAAAAAGGAAAGTAACAAAATTCTCTCCTTTCATTACAATAGAAGAAAAATGAAGCAACTGGAACAAGATATCTGAAAAGAGCCAGCTGCTTTGGACAATAATTAGAGTAACCTGTGAGAATTTTGCTTGAGCAGATGTCAGTGCCTTTGTTGATTTATCAAACTGACCATTATGATATGCCACAACCCCTTCCAACAACTCCAATCCCTTGTGTCTACAAAGAAAGCATGCAAAAGAGATTAGCCTCACATTGCAACCTCCAGCATTCTGACTCAAGGCCAGAAACATAGACATTGAGTCACTGAAGCAATTTTGCAAAGTACTCACAATGCAAGCTGTGGCTGGCAACCAGCTTGAAGGAGTCTAACACGGGAAAAATCCTTCCCATGACAACGTTCAAGTCCTTCTCTGGCCTTTTCAAGGCGTATTCCTGCAACTGAAAGCCAACTGATATCTCCAAGCAAGAAATAGCACCACACCATGTCTATTTGCAGTATTGGTACATTGTCAATAAACTGCAAGCAGACACATAGAACCAAAATGCATTGGACATTGAGTCAAATCAAAGAACAAGCATGCAATTATTCAATAACAAATGCATGTTTAAGATTATAAAAGGATTATCGAAATGCTAAAGTGACCTTTTGTTATTTCCATAAACTATAAACCCAACTGCAGCATGGGTTAAAAGTTATTCTGAAAATGACCTTTAATTCTAAGAAAGAATATCTCACCTCAAGGACCTTGGGATCACAAAGAGAGAAAGCCTCCTACAAGAAAGAAATAAGATACTTAAATTAATTAATTGTCAAACTCACAGACAAACGTTTTACTATATGACCTTATCATCAGCTTTGCAGATAAGAAATGTTCATAAACTGCTATTCTAAGAATCTGGATACAAGCAAGAAAAGATTTGAAGAAAGTAGAGTGTTGAAGTAAAGGAGGGAAAATGCTAGCAACGAACCTCCCCCATGGTGAGCACTTCCAGTGCATCTTTATACAGTTGTCTCCTAATTAGATTCTTTGCGTTTTCGTGAAGCATCAGGCCCATCAGTACTGCCCTGTTTAAAGACATTGATATCTTACTTTAGTAGTAAAAATGAGGGCTAATGTCTTAAAACCTAGGACTAAATACCATACCGCTGATCAGTCTCAGTTCCTAATTGTACTTTTTGCCCTTCCTGGTTTTCGAGTTCAATATTAAAGTCTTCAATTGGTAATGAACCATCTACATGTCTCTTGGAAAGTGCAGTGGCAGCTGCCCTGCCAACAGCGATTACTAAGGTTAGTAATTGGAAAATTTGCAAAACAATATGCAATGGTATTCAGAAAATACACCGAAACAAATTATTTTCCCAGCCCACCAACTCCTGAAAAGATGATCACTTCATATTGCAGGAAAACTATAAAATTGTCACATCCGTTCAAAAGATTCCTTTTCATTCAGAAAAACTTGGAAGCAGGTTCTTATACTCTTTGCATAAGGTAAGTCCTTGCTTTATCTAAAATGTTCAAAGAGTAGACACATTTTTGAAGGTATTCCCCCCACTTCAAAAAACAACACTGACACTTCTGCGGTTAAAGCCAATAGGTTCTCCAAGTTAGATGCTCAAGATCATCTCAACTTAAGGTAAACTATAAAGGCTCAACATCTCTCAACGCTGCAACATACTAATATTTCACACTATCAATTCAATCATAGACTTCAGACTACATTAGACCGCATTGATTTTAAGACGTAAAATAGACGCGTGGGTCAGGAAGCGGGTCGACGCTCGGGTCGAGTCGGGTCACGGTAAAACAAGCGGATCTTCTGGGTCACTTAAGGCCAAAACGACGTCGTTTTGAGAGGGTATAAAAGGCACTTCCCTCTGTTTTTTCGACAGAACGCTCCTTCCCTCTCTCTCTCTTCTTCATTTTTCCTCTTCTTTCTCTCTAAAAGGTCGAAGAACTCCGGTTGAAGATTCACCGGATTCTGGGTTTTGTCATCGAAATCTGGGTTTTTTCACCGGAAGTTCGCCGGAAGGTCAACGGTTTCTGGAAATCTTCATCGAAAACTGGGCAGGTCGCCGAAAACTTCAAGGTTGGCCGAAATTTTCACCGAAAAATTCAAACTTCGTCGAAAAATTCATCGAAATCTGGAATTTTTCAGAAATTCCTAGAAAAAAACCGCCAAAAATTCTCAAAAAATTTCTGCTAACTCCCCGAACACTCCTAAATCTTTTCTCAGCTTCCTATACGCCTCATTTTCTCTCAAATCAGTAGCTTTGCTCACTGTTTGTTCTGTGTCCAGCATCTGTTCTAGGAGGTCCCTTTTATAGGGATTGATCAAGAGTTTCTGATCAATCCTAATTCCTGTTTGGACGAGGATTCAATCTTTGAATCTAATCTGGACTCTTCAGATTGAATTCCCATTCACAATGGGATTCTCAACTTTCAATCACAGCCCTAAAAAAAAAATCATAATAATCAGATAATTAAAAAAAATCAGATAAATGAATAAAAATAAAATTAACAGATAATTAATTAAAAAAATTAAAATAAGATAAATCCAAAAAATATTACAAGATAAAATAATAATAATAATAAATATAACTATATAAATAAAATACATATAAATATTAACAAAAGAATAAATAAATAAATAAATAAAGATATACATATATTAATACATAATAATAATAATAAATAATAAAATACATAAAATACAAAAGAAAAAAAATAATACAAAATAAAGATTCAATTGAGCTTACCCATTTGAACCAGGCCCAATTGATCCGGGCCTGGACCAAATTGGGTGTTTACACTTTGTAGTTTAATAATTGGTCAGAAAAAAAAAGTTAATAACATGGATTCAATGCTTAAGATTATATATGGATAATTTGTAGAGTACCTTCTGTTTGTTTAAATCATTTTGAGAAAAATGCATCAAGCATTTCGTTATTTTTGTATAATATTTTGTTTTCACTTATGATATTTAAAATTTATTTTTTTTCATCTAAAATGTTTTATTGATGTTCTAAATTGATTACCATCAATAATTGTTAAATTTTCAATGGTATCTGTCACAACAATTTCACGTAAATATTCATATGATGTAAATTTAAATTTAAAAAATCGACAATTTGTGAAATAGATGAATTTATAAGTTTAAAAAATCATGATAAAAATTTTTAATTTTAAAAATTATGAATGAAAATAAACTATTACATAAAAATCATGAATGTATGATGTAATTTATTCTTATTTTCCTTTTTACTATTTTTTGCTTTCACGACATCCTCGTAATAATTAGGATCTATCCTTCCCCTTCATGTAATCTCATGGAAAAGGAAACATATATACTTCATTAAGTTGAAATTAACATACTTTTAGGATATTGGCGGAAATTTAATAAAAATTTTCGATCACTAAATAAATCTTTTAAACTAAATTGTAGGAAAATATATAGTTTTCTCAAGTTAACCGTCACGTATTGGACAACAAATCAGGCATTCCAGCCTAGCTTTAATAACTTTACAACTCACCAAACCAAACTATGAGGTAATAGATCAAAGACCTAGAGAATCAATATATAGAAATCTAAAACCAGCAAAGAACAAGGCTAAGTGTTGATACATTTCCCAATGAAATAAAACCAAGCTCGTCGCCAATATGGATTTATGTACAGGATGGTAGCAATTGCCATTAAAACAATTGCGTAAGAAACCCAAAAGCTCACATAAAAGACATACTTATCCATCAAACCGCCTTCTTCTTCCCCGTTTGAGGCAAATGGCATTGTTGCGGGTGAATCTGTTTCGGGGCAATTTTTATGTAATGGAGGTCCACAAAGAAAAGGATTCCCTAGGTAACTGTTTTCATCGAAGGTCCCAAACTGAGCTTTTTGATCTGGAATGCTCCCTGACAAATTGTTGTATGACACGTTGAAGACCTCTAGAGCATTTAACTCAATCAATTGAACAGGGATTCTTCCGTTTAACTTGTTGTGAGATAGGTCCAAACTCTCAATCTGCTTAAGCTTCGAGAATGTTGAGGGTACAACTCCAGTCAAATTGTTTATGCGACAAGTTTAATGAACGGATGTCACTCAAATTTCCAATCTCAAAGGGGATTTCACCTGTTAGTCTGTTGCAGGATAAATCGACTCCAGACATGTTCTCAAGAATCTTACCTTTGTATGTGTAAAAACCACTCTTTGTTGTATAATCCACCCGTTCTTCGATATGACTCTCATCGATTAAAGATCCAAGGATTGCCTCTTGTGCTTTTAAATGATCCCTTTCTAATATTGTCATTCCATAATAATCAGCTCCCTCCAATGTCGAACCAAAATAGAAAGTTCCCGTCCCTGTTAAAGACTTCCCAGCGTTTGGCTCAAGAGTTAAATTACCCAAACAAGAAGGTATAGGACCAGAAAGCTTGTTTTGAGAAAGATCTATGATGCTTAATGAGTATGATTCACATAGCTGAACCGGAATTCCCCCAATCAAATAATTGGCTTTCAGAAGAAGGACACTCAAAGCTGAAAGAGTACCAAGCCAAGATGGAATTTCACCGGTCAAATAGTTTTCACTAAGGTCTAAAGTCACCAGTGAAGAGCTGTTAAAGAATACACCTGCCAAGTTACCAGTTAATCTATTTTTGCTCAAATGAAGATGTCTGACAAATCGTGCATCAAAGCAAGATGGTAGTGGGCCAGAAAAATTATTTTGTGAAACGTCCAAAAACAGAAGGCAATCCAAATAGCACAATTCCATCGGAATGGGACCCTCAAGCTGATTGTTGGATAAAGCCAATGTCATCAAATCTGACATATTCCATACCCATCTTGGGAGCTTGCCAGACAAATTGTTGTTACTTAAATCCATATCAAAAAGGGAAGGTATACTGGTTGAGATATCAATATTAGGTATCTCTCCATCAAAATTATTGCTATCTAAATATAATGTTGTTAATGAATATAAGCTAAATATCGTGGGGGCTATCTTCCCACTCAAATTATTATTCGACAGTCTGAGAAACCGTAACAAGTCACTCTTTCCAAACTCTTCTGGTATTCCTCCGGACAAATTATTATATGACAGATCTAAATGTCTCAAACCACCCAGACAAGGAGGAATATTACCTTCAAGGGTATTGCCAGATAAGTTTAACCTGATTAAATATGGAAAAGTTGAACAAATGTTTGTTGGAATTTGACCCTGTATTTTGCTCTCAGATATATCAATAATGGACATGTTTGGATTTGGGTGTAAAGGCAACTGGAGCGAGCCCATAAAGAATTTCCTGCCATTAAATATGCTTCTAATCTTGTATTGTTCACTAACAACCAAGAAGGAATCGTTCCTCCAAAATTGTTAAATGAAAGATCAACAATACTCAAGTCATATTGGTGATGGAGGAATTTGGGAAGTTCATTGTGGAGTTCCTTTGTTGTACAATTTGACATACGGAAGACTTCTAATTGGAACTTTGGAATCCAAGTTTGAGAGATAGGCTCTTTTACTAGCTTGTTTTGATTGCTTAAGAGGACCTTGAGATGTGAGTGGTTTGCAAATGATATGAAAAAAGCCGGAACTTGAAATAGATTTTTTGAAAGAGCAACGAATCTAAGCAATGTAAGATTGCCCAGAGAAGTGGAGGCATCATTTTCAGTAAATCGATTGTCGGAAATATCCAGATAACGGAGAGATGATAAGTTACCCAAACATGAAGGAAGTGTTCCTTCGAGTGCATTTTCACTAAGATCCAACGCCTCAAGATTCCGTAAATCACACCAGCCTGTAAAACAAATCCATGTATGATATTTCAAATTTCACGTTCATTTATGTTTAAGAGGATCAAAAACATTTAAGGAGGAAATATAACTAAAGAAATTTATTCAGTAAGATAGGTGATCAAGAAATCTGTCAAAGATCAATGATAAAAATTGCCTAATCTTCCTTTATAAAATTATGTCACAATTAATTTACCTTTAGTAGGTGTCATAACGTCTAGATCCGGGGATCTATCGCTAGACATTGACTTTTAGGGAGTCGCCACCAATCTTTTTTATCTAGGTGCGATTGGCCACCTATGGAATCTGTCCTTTTAGGGAACACCTAAGTTTAAGGGCCCCTAAAAGAATAGGTTCAGGTCTACTAACCAGAACAGGGTTCGGGAGTTCGGTTACGTGTGAGGAAAGTTATAGCACCCTCACAACGCCCATCAAAAGATGGTACCAGCTTGAATTTGTGTTATCCAAAAGCCTTAAAATTTTACCAAGTAATTAATTATTGGAAATTATTCTCAATTGACTCTAATACTTTTAGCAGAAAATTGAGAAAATTCCCTCACCTCAAGAGTATGCAAGAAAAACTACTGTTTCATTTGCAGAGGCTCCGTCGTCGGATTATTTAAATCAAAATTAAGATAGAAAGGAAGGAAAGAATGATTTTTTTTTTGTAGGGAAAATTGATACTTTCAACTTTTCCCTAAAAATATTTTTTGGAAATTTCGATTTTCAAGAAAAATTGATACTTTCAACTTTTCCTCAAAAACTCTTTTTTTGAAAATTTATTTCTAAGGAAAATTGATACTTTCAACTTTTTCCCAAAAATATTTTTTGGAAATTTCGATTTTCAAGGAAAATTGATACTTTCAACTTTTTCTCAAAAACCCTTTTTTTGAAAATTTATTTCTAAGGAAAATTGATACTTTCAACTTTTCCCCAAAAATAGTTTTTGGAAATTTATTTCTAAGGAAAATTGATACTTTCAACTTTTCCCTAAAAATATTTTTTTTTTGAAATTTATTTCTGAGGAAAATTGATACTTTCAACTTTTCCCCAAAAATATTTTTTGGAAATTTATTTCTAAAGAAAATTGATACTTTCAACTTTTCCCTAAAAATATATTTTTTTTGGAATTTTTTATTTTTATTTAAAGAAAATAAAATAATAAAAAATAAATAAAAAGGATATTACATAAACCTAATCTAATAAATAAAAATTAAAATAAACAAAGAAATAAATAAAATAAAAAAATTCAAAGAAAAAAAAAAAAAAAAAACCTGGAGTGGCTCGGATCGCGGCTCGGCTCGGCTCGGCTCGGCTCGGAGGGGGCTGGCACGCGCGGGTCAGAAAGCGGGTCGACGTCCGGGTCGGGTCGGGTTCGGCAAAACGCGCGGATCCTGTGGGTTACTTAAGGCCAAAACGACGTCGTTTTGGGAGGGTATAAAAGACAGTCCCCTTCGTTTTTCGGCAGAACAGCCCTCGCCTCTCTCTCTCTTCTTCCTTTTTTCTCTCCCTTCTCTCTAGAAAATGAAGAACACCGGTGCCGGATTTTGGAAAAAGTCACCGAAATCTGAAAATTTCGCCGGAAGTTGGCCGGAAGTGCGCCGGTTTCTGGGATTCTACGCCGGAAACTGGGCAGACCGCCGAAAACTTCAAAGTTGGCCGAAAAATTCGCCGGAAAATTCAAACCCCGCCGGAAACTTCACCGAAATCTGGAAATTTCCCAGAAATTTCCAGGAAAATTTTCGCCAAAAACTTCTAAAAACTTATTTC